AAGGGTGCCACTGCAGCCTCACGAAAATGACGAGCATTAATAAAAAAATAGTCTGCTTTTTTACTAGCTGCCAACCAACCAACCAAAGCTCAAAAGGCTGGCGAAAATCCATCGGAAAGTTTTTACAGCTGGAAATTTTAGTGCCTAATTCCGCACAATTACATTCGCCGAACATTCCGGTGAGTCATGTCGGGGATGATGCCGTGCCGGGGGGATGATGAAAGAAGAAGCAAGCAAGGGTTCCGCGAGCAACAGCAGCAGCTTTCAAGTAGCACTCGCTCCGTCATGACTCACATCACGGAGCTAGCAGCAATTTACACACGAGAAATTTTTACACTCGCATGTACATACTTGAACCCCTTTCTTTCCTTTTCTTCTTCTGTGGGGAGCCGGGCAAATATTTTCTCGGGGTTAATTTCCGCGACCTCCCCGCGTGCGAAAAAAGAAGTGCGCGCACGGCAGCTGTGAAATTTTAATCTTCTCTCGCCGCGAGTTTGCAGTTTTTCGTTGCGAAATAACATTGAAATGAGAGCGCGTGTGGGTACAGTCGCACCAAAATTTCCGTGACAACTTTAAGAGGAAAGTTTGTATGAATTGGAGCGAAACTGTCATAGAAATATTCAAACTTGTGTGGTAACAATTATAAAAAAAAAATGTGTTCTTAAAATATCGTTATTGTTCCTCATCGCATGAGTGTAAAATATTATATGAAAATTCAATATTAATATTTAATTTGATAAAAAGATTATCTTGGAAATTTTCCAATTTAAAAAATTGATATGAAGAAAGCCAAAGGTGGAGATAACGAGAAAAATTGCGCTTTAGGCAGTTGACGCTGCATTTTTTTTTTAAACAAATTACATGATTTTAAAAGAAATTTAAAAAATAAGATTTTACATAATGTCTTGAACACAAGATGAAATTTAAGGCAAAATAGTTGTATTTCAATGTTTAGTTTAAATCTTCATTACATAATGAAATTTGATTCTTTTGGCAAAAGGCCAATTAAAGAATTATAAGAATGTCTTAATGAAATAAAAAAAACCAATTTTAAAAATATAAATGAATTTAGAATTCATTCCAGAATTTATTTATGCCAGAATAAATTTCCACGTAACCAAGTAAATTAAAGTTAAGTGTCGTGAGAGATACCGTCATAAAAATTTGATAACTTATCACTTCTCAAAATTCGTCCCTCATTTGAAATTTCTTTCCGGCGAAGGTTTTCCGCTGGAAAAGTACGTTAAAGATAACATGTTCTCACGGTCAGCGTGGTCAGACCATGTGTGTGTGAAGGCTGACGTGGAAAAAAGCAGCAGGAAAAGGTCCACGCGGCACTATACATGTATTTCGCGCGGCTCGACGGTGACCTTTGGTTTCGAACAAAGGCGCAACAGTTAGTCGATTTTCTCATCGCTGCTGCTTGCATCACCATAATTTACGGGGCAAAAATTCAAAATAAATTCCCGGCAGATCCGTATCACGCAGCATCAGGTCTCCTGACAATCACGGTGACAAATTACAAATAAGCATATATTACAGTCATGGTGCTCGTTGGACTCTCGCGGCGGCCAGACGGACTGAATAAACAACCCCTTTTTATCTTGGATTTTATCAAATTTATGCCACGAGGGAGAGTTGGTAGACGCATGGAATTTATGCACGTCCAGCTGTGAAAAAGGGTCGTAAGTATTAACCCAACTTTAAGCAGATGCTTTTATAAAGAAAAGATGAATTATAATAAATAAATAAAATTTCTTAATATTGGTCAAGCAATTTTTTTTCAATTAAATATCCTAAATATCAATTTAAGAATAAATTCTGACAAAAAAAAAATCTATCAATGTATCACGAGGCTTAAGAGATGCATTATTCAAAATAACTATGCTAACACAACTTTTAGAGGAAAAATTTGGAAAAATAGTTTAATTTTTAGAAGAACAAATATTTTGGAGAAAATTTATTTAAACCCTTCATTAATTCAAACTTTAATTTGTAAAATAAAAGAGACTGAATATTCCTTTCATTGATTGGAGACATTAAAATAGTCATGCTTTGAAGTTATAAAGAATGGTCTCGATAAAACAAAATTTAAAAATGAAACTTTGAGTTATGAAAATAATTTAAATAAATTTCGTTTCTTATTAAAATACTCAAGTTTTGATTTAAAAATGCATATATTTAGCACATTAAAAACACCAAGGTTTTTAATTAAAATCAATTTAAACTTCAGGCATTTGAAAGGATCTGTTAGTTTATTTGGGCCGGTGCGTGAGCGCGGCAAATGGAGTGCGAGAGAGAAGGGTAATTGGCCGAGTATTTTGCATATGAAGCGCAGTTTGCTCAACAAAGTGGCACCGGCAGCAGCGGGAGATTTGCACCGGCTCTCGCTCTCTCGGTATAATGTACTTCTGTGTGTTGAATCTGGTCTGGCATAAAAGGAAGGAAGGTGTCGTCGTCACAAAGCGGCGGCCGGTGCTGCTGAATAATAAGAGCTGCGCGCTGCTCATCACCAACCGGCATACAAACTCATTTGAATATTAAAAGACCAACTTTTTACCATGTGCATTTAGTTGACCTTTCCTCCGAGCACCACAACGCGCGGCGGCCAAAATATATAATTAAGTGTGAGAATGTTATTGGTCGCGAGCATTGTCATCAAATTTTTTATTATTATTGTATCCTCTCAGGTGCGTCCGACCGTCCGTATGAGCTTTTATATACACAATTATATTTTTACATATATGAATTTTTGTTTGTTTGCGTTTGCTCGTTTGATGCGCCAAGCGCGGCCCCTTGCACATCCACGCATGAAATAATGCGTTTTCAGAGAGAAGCTCAGAGCGCGCTATCGGATTTCCTCATCTAGAGCATTTTATATAAAAGTGTTTTGGACTGGGCCATATAATACTGACCAACACACTTTAAGTCAGGTGTTCTGCGAGAATGACTTTTCATTCATTCCCCCTTTCTCACAAGTAGCTCGCACGTGCAAAACAAGAAAAAATAAATATATAGTAGGTATTTCTTATAACGCAGGGTAGCTTTCAAATTGTTAAGCAGCATGTCCAAATTTAAAACGCGTTTTTAGAATTATAAGTTAGCTATTCGATTGTTTTATGCTGGATTAGTTATATCAGAATAATAAAGCTTTCTCAAATTGAATTATTGATATAGATTTGGATTCAAAATGCTGAAATATAGTTAAGGAACAAGAACAATCGAGATGAATAATCGTCCGTATTACAATTTATTCCTTAATAACAACTACTATAAATTCTACAAGGCATTGATTATTTAATTTTATTTAGAAGGAAAACATAAATATGCCAAAATATAATTAACTTTAAAGAAAAGTTAACTCATATTACTTTTAAATCATGTAATAATACACATTTAATCTGCTTAAATAAAATTTAATATACGTAATTAGTAAATAAATTCCTTTATGTTCAAACGTTAAAAAAAGTAGTTAAACATTGTTTAATATTTTAAGATTTTTCAAATAATTATATTTTAACAAGATTACATAATAGATGCATATACATTTAAAAGAACTGGAGAAAATTGGAGAAAATAAATACATTTCTCCTAAAATTAATTAGATTATCATCGCTGACTTGTTTGGAGAAAAATAAATTGAATTGAATTGAATTAAAAAAAATGTATGCATCTGATTAAAATGTTATGTGCAGTGCATTAAAACCTGGCGAACTGTCCATGCAAATTTGAGCATAATTCTATGTTGCACATAAATGAAATAAATCGAGGCGTGTGCATTTTCCATTTCTCCCCTTTTCGATTAGACCGCGTGAGCAGGAGCACTTTGGAATTTCCGAGTGTGGATTTTCCGCAACACTCGAAACTGTTTCTTTCTCCTTTCTGCAACGTTCGACGTTGATTACATGGCGTATAATGCAAAGGGTACATTATGTGCGTGTGTATGTACGCAGACTTTGTGAGTTGCGCCCCCCAAGCTAAAAATAAAACCGCGTTAGCTGCTTTTGAGGAGGGAAACTTTTTGTCCCTTTTCGTCATTTAGACATTTTTTGGTGTTGGCTAGCATTTTGCAAAAACCAAGACGAATAATAAAGTGAAATTAATAATTATTAGTAAATAAATTACTAAACTTGGTTTTTATTAATTGATAGCATTGTATTCAGATTTTCACGAAAATTTGACAACATTCGTAAGAGGAGAAAAAATTTGTGTCATTATTAAAAGACATTTAGTCTGAATTACCAAACCAAACTTTCCATTAGCCGCTTTAGACACATGCTTAACAAGAGATTACTCTCTTTTATCAGTCCTAGACATTTCAACGCCTCTGCTGGAGCTTCTGTGTTACATTCCGTTCCCGTTTTGACGTGAGAGACTAAAGAGTCATGCTCGGTATCTAAATTTCAGAGATATTTCATCCAGCGAGAAATACCGGGCACAAAATTTTTTGAATTTCTTTCCTTTCTAAAAATGCTGGCGATCTTGGGACGACTCTTCATGCAATTTTTGCAGTTCGAGCACTTCGTAGGTCACTTTTATAGTTTGCTAGAAAAGGTGACCAAAGTCTTTTGATGTAGACTTTTCGCTAATAATTAAATTAATAGGAAAAATAAATTTCCAAAGGGAGCTGAATTAAGTAAAACAAATTGGTAAATTTCTTGACAGATTTTCCTGGACGAATTAAAGAGAAATTTGTCGTGAAAAATAGTTTCAACAATATTTAAAATTATTTAATATAATTTTCGTGCTCATTTAGTGAAAAATATCGATTAAGTCTGACTTTCGCAGTACCAATTTAAAAATTATTTTATAAATTAATTATAATTATTTTAAACTTTTTTTAAAAAAAAATTAAATATAAATCTGATTTTGATAGGGATTTCTCTCGCGTTGGAAAATTTGAACGCTTGAAGCTGATCTCGCGCGTCTGATGCTTCGAGTCAGATCGCAACCCCCAAAAGGCACCCCCGAGTGCGGAGAGACAAAATGGGTGTACTCACAAATCCGTAGCCCCTGCTTTTGCCGGTCTGGCGGTCGGTGATGACGACGGCCTCCTCGATGTCCCCGTAGACGGCGAAGTGTTCGCGCAGCGACTTGTCCGTGGTGTGGTAGGGCAGGCCTCCGACGAACAGCTTCGTCCACGTTGTGTCCTTCTGCTGGACGGCCGGCGAGTTGCTGGCCACCGAACTGGCCACCGAGGTGGGCACCTGGCCAGTGAGGGCGGCCACGGTGGCCGCCGAGAGCGCGGCCTGGACGGGGTCGGAGGCCACGGTGGTGGCGGGGGCGCCGGCGGCGGCACTCGTGCCGGCGCCGAGGACCGAGTCGGCGGCCCCGCCGAGCACGGCGCCTCCTGGCATCAGCATCCCGTAGGCGTGAATGGTGGCGACGGTTCTTGCAGACAAACGAACGAGAAGGGCGGCGGACGACGAGTCGCACTCGGACAGCTGCTGACGAGTGAGAGAGAGAGTGAGTGGCTGCGGACTGTCCGTTCAGAGCACGAGCTGCATGGCACTCTGCGCTGGTGGAGCTCGGAACGCTTGTGGCTCTCTCGCTTGGCACGCCGCTTCGCTTTGGCCCCCGGTCTGGCTCTGGCGGCCCAAGAGCGCAACGTCAGCCAGCGCCGCCACCGCCACCGCCGCGCTTTAGCTTCCTCCTCTTCCTTTTTAACCATGCCCGCTGCATGCCTGCTCGCCGGGCAGTGGATTTTATTCCTGAAATAGAAAATTTTTTTATTTCTTTAAGTCCAGTGAAATGCAAAATAATTATTTACTTCTTCATGAGTCAGAAAAAGAAGGAAATTTATTTCTCTTGAACAATAAGGCTAATACGTCAACAATAGTTTGGTGCTTAATAGTGTTATTTTTACAACACATAATTAGTGTACTGTTTTTTTTTTATATATATTTTAAGCTATGATAATCAACTTTGTAAGTCACTTTATGGCCATATATATGGATCCGGACGGAAAGAATTGCAAATAATCTACTATTTAACGCAAGAAAACACAAAAAACTCCCCGACAATGATTGAAACCCATTTTAAGAAGCACAAACTCGAAAATAAAAGTGTAGCGAAGCAGACAATCAGCTGTAGGTAAAACGCCCGCTAACAGCCATAGTGATAAGAAAAACCGCCTAAATAAACCTGTAAAAACCGTTAGCGACTATAGTGCATTATGCAGTAGTGCCAACCCAAAAATCGTAGTCTGGAATAACTAGTAGTGTAAGTGTATATTAATAATGTTAACAAAATTATATTTAACTTTTGGTAAAATTTGATTTAAAAAAATATATATATATATTATATATATATATATATATATATATATATATATATATATATATATATATATATATATATATATATATATATATATATATATATATATATATATATTATATATATATATATATATATATATATATATATATATATTTTTAGTTATAAATTTGAATCTTTTAATGTATAATATATTTTGTTTTTAGAAAATTTTTGATGGTCTTGTAATGTAATTATTGTATAATATTTATTATATATTAAAAACACAGTATAAAATATAAATAATTGACCTCTTAGCAATGAAACTTTGTTTTGCAAAATATTTATGTAATATATTTATATTTTAATTACCGATAATTGAAGCATGAAACTTTTGTGATAAATTAATGTGTTAGGATTTATAAAAAAATTGCAAATTAACTATATATTTTCAAATTGGGCTATAGAAGCTCCTACATTCAAGGTTGTTTCAATGACTTGTTTTTAAAAAGTAAGCATCTCAAATCAGGGGAAAAATCTGTAAATTTGGTTTACCATTAAAAAAAAATGATATTTTAAGTATCCTAAGACCTTTGATTGGCTAAAAAATAATCCTCACCATCTCCTCTCCTATAAATCTTTTCGATTTATATTTCATAGTTTTTTTCCCGTTTGGTCAACAGGCTAAATATTTTTGAGTTGTTCTAACCAATTTTCGTAATTAATAAATTAATCATAAGCTAGGTTGGTTCCATTCCACCACCCTTGTATGTCCACGGGTAAATACAGGCGTGCATCGGAGAGAAATTTATTTTCCCTCTCTCCCCTCGCGCCGCCGTCTGTGTGTTGTGTGTATGGGAGAGAAAAAACAAGTTTTACCCCTATTATTTGAATGCTGCTGAGCTGTGTTATCAAGTTGCATTTTAGGGGACTTTTACCTCTCGCGGATCCTTCTTCCTTTCCGCCGCCGCCAAAGCCAAAGGGCTGCTTCCTCGCATGCAACCCATTCTTTATCCTCACGACAGTTTAGCAGTTTCCTTCTTTAAACAGAGTAGATTTTTTTTTTAAATTGAGCAGCTCAAATTTTAAAAAGTCCTGAAAAAAAAATCAATATAGTAGTTATTCTAATTACATGCATACGCTTAGACAGGACCTTGTTTTAAGTTTACGATATTAATTACAGACGCGGTGGCATGCAAGATTTATCAGCCGTATCACCTGCCAAATTTTGCAATGGCCTGCTGGGAAAAGACTGCAGGAGTGCTAATGAAACTGCGACTTTCAATTAGCATTGCTCGGGAATGCTTGCAGGGATAAAATTTTATTGGCGGCAATTGCATTTGGAGTAATCTGCAAAAACAAACGGTCGGTGTAAAAGCGGCATGCGGGCTAATTGAAACCATAAATAAATTTAATAATTACTTTACAATCGCAGCGGGAAAAAGCTCAACTCGGAATTGAGCTGTTGGAGAAAAGACTTTTAGTATAGAGCGTTTTCCTGGAAAGACTTGAAGAAGTCCCGCTACTTTTCTCTCTCTCTGCATTTATCTGCTGCCACCAATAAAAGTCTTCTGCACGCCATATTCGCGCGCCGTCTCTCGTCCTAGACCAAGCTTTTTTCTTTATGGAGCTCAACAGCGTCTGGCATCGCAACACACACCTTTTGTTGTCGTAAAATTGGCGCAAGTTGGTTGCCGCGCGGCAAACACCTGAGAGCCGCATTTACATATATAGAGGAAACTTGCCTACACGAAACAAGAAACTTGAGAAATGTTTGAAAATGGACGTATAAATTAAAATAAATAAAAAGCTACTGGTCTAAACAATTAGATAGCCAGATAAAGGAATAAGATTAACAAAATATAAACAAAACAACTCACTATTATAAGCGTAAAGAATTATTATTCCTACATTTTTTTAAATAAGAATGTATATAATATCACTTATAATATTTGCAGGATATTAGAACAAACATTAAACTTTTTGTTTATTATAATAATTTTTTATGTTAAACTTGTTTAGAAATTATATGATTATTTTATTTATAATAAATTTAATTTATTTTTATACTGAATAAATATTTTAAAAACAATATTTTAGAATAAAATAAAGGAAACAAAGAGCAAAACTCTTTTAATTTTTTGGATATACGTTGGATAATTTATTTTAATATTACATATATGATTGGTATTGTATTTAAGAAATTGTTACTTAATTATATAAAAATAAATTTCTCTTCTGATTTTTCTTAATGTAGTTATGCACAATTGTTTTTATAAGATAAAATGCTTCGTTTCAATGGCCGGCGCATCATTGCATTTTATTTAGCGTTTCATTGAAATTTTGCTGAAATATGCTATTATTTTTGAGAGAATAATATACAAATCAATTTGATTTTGACCCTATATGGTAAGTTTAAATTTCTGCAAGCCTTATAGCCTTTGAGCAATAAGTTTGAATATCATTTATTTATTTAATAATACTGAAGTAACGCCCTCGATTTATACCCAGCAAACTGTAAAAAAATATTCATCGTTTATTCAAATGCAAAATCAATATAGAAACTTGCCTTTTATGTTTAATTTTTTCCTCTCAGCCGTTTTTTTATTTTATTTTTGATTCTATATCAAATCATAAAAAAAAACGTAATCCGATCCTTGTTCTGTCAGTTGGTCATGCAAAAAGAGCAACGACTCGTTATATATTCGGTCAGTCAATCAGCGAAAATTCCACTCGCGGCGTGATAATGGTGCCGGTGGCGAGTGTGGAGTGTGTTTTAATAAAATATCTAACCCCCTGATCGCGCGCTTGGTGAAAAATATGCAGCTGCAGTCAGTTCTCCAGCAGCGGCGCGCCGACGAAAAAATTATAATGGAATAAAAATTTTGTCCCAGGGGGAGGTAAACAGCTGCTTCGTCATCAAATCATTACGTCACAAACTCCGCGCCAAGACACAGCGTGTTATTTTGATATGCCATTCTTTAAGTTAGCGCTGCATAATAAGAAAAAAGATCAGCATAGTGGTCAGCGGCGAAAGCCGCGGAACAAAGGACCATTCGCACCTTGTGTCGCTTATTTGGGGAGGACAGTTTTCTACCTTTGATAGAAATTTGACAAAAGCAGTTTGTCTCTCCTCAGCTGGAGACTTTGCGTTTTTATTATATATTATAAGAGGAGGCGAGCTACTGATTTAAAATCACATTAGCCACTGCGTGTTAAGCATGGTGTGCATTTATATTTATGAAAATATAATATCAGGGGCCAACACCTGTAGACAAACGTGCGGAACAAAAGTGGATTTGCCAGCGAACAAACTGTTGATCCCGGCCACTTATTCTATTTTATAATCTTTTTAACAAGAACTGGATTATTCCAAAATTGAGTTGTCTAACTAGGCAAAATAATTTTTGAGGAAAGAAATAAAAATGAAATAATCTAATACGAAATCTTATTCACTACTTATATGGTAGTTATTTTGAAATAAAATTTAAAGTTTATATACCAGTTAACAAAAGCAGCGTCAAAAATAAATTGTAGAATAATAAAATAATGTATACATTTATTCTACATCGTAAAATAAAATTAAATATAATTTTGTAACGTTTTTAATAAAATTACATTTTGAAATTTCGCTTTCAATTTTTGTGTATGTGCTTCAATAAAATATTAAAAAATTATTTAAATAAAAAAGTAATAAATGCACTCATTTGGATGAATGCTGCAATAACTGTAATTTACCTTTAAAAAAAGTTTGACTTGTGGTTCTTGGTACTACTTACATAGTTATTAATTTAAATCTAAAACTCAATATGATCTTACATTTTCTTTAATTTTTGAATATAAAATTAACACTGCATAAATAACTTTTCTTATTATTAAATTCAAATTAAATTAAATTAAATCGCTGCGGAGCACATAAATTGCACTCTCGCCCTGCTCGGATATTCAAAAGCGAGTGTTAATTTTAGACTTAAAGAGGACTATAGTTGGGAATTGATTCTTGAAATAAAACGCGCAATAGATTTGTTATATTAATGGCCTTAAATTCCGTCTGAATGTTCTTTCCTTTTTCCTCCTTATTGATTTAAGGTTCTTGTATGTACTGTATAAAGTAGTTCTGCTCAACGAACACTCACTGGGTGGTATTCTGCACAGCTTGATTTCATTGCAGCAAAAACTATTTCCTGGTGTGCGTCAGGAAAAGTCAACGCATTATTCATCATCAGTTACGAGCAATCCTGATTTTATCCCCTCATTGCTGAGCTTTATCTCTCCAGCAGTTGTTGGGCACAGATAAATACAAATGTATTTTTATTTTCTATAATGCTCGACTGCACCCCTCTAAAGTTTACTCAGCGTGGAGAGCGCAGATAAAAACTCTCTTTGGCCAACCCTTTCTTTCTTGGAAAAAACGGCTGTTCACCAGTCAGATTTTGAGCGCTGAGCAGCGGGACTTTATCTGCGCTTATTTCACTCCTTTTATTATATATTATGAGCAAAACAAACATGAACATCCTTTGGCGATACTATAGAACTTTACTTAAAAGCTCTAAAATACCTTTGTCATCGGAGGAAATCGGAAAAGAAATTAAATTTAAATTTATGAATTCAACAAGATGTTTCTTTGGTTTCTTTGTATCTTCATTATAAATAGGAATGTAAAACAACAACAAAACCAATTAAATTTTTCTGCAGATATATTCTCCTCATCTCAACTAAATTTGCCTAATAAGTAATTTTTAATCCTGATTTTTCGTACCATTACCAACTCAACTTTATGGAACCAAAACCAAAAGTTTTTAGTTTCAATTTTATACATTTCAAAATTTGAATGAAATATTTTTAAGCTCTCTAAACTGGAATATGAGTTGAAAGTTGCATTTTTTGTATTTTATGTTGGTAATTTTCATCTTTTGGAAGTTTGAACTGGTTATATTTATAGCTTATAGCATTACATCATTTAAAATTTTGTAAAGCAAAAAAGTAAAGTTTTTTAATTTTAATAAATTCAAGAGTATACATATATCTGCAACATTAGGATTATTTTCATTTCTGAATAATTATTTTACGTTACCATCAACTTTAAAATCTCTTAACGTCCATATTAGACTTTCACGTTTTACATCTGTTCTCATTATGAAAAGCTTACTGGACTGCACATTGTTGCTAATCTGATCCCTGAGAACAAGAGACGTGCTGCAGAACATAATCGAACGTGCGTCCAGGCGTTCCCTTTAATCTTTTGGCTTCCAGCAGCTTTTTCCCGTCGGCCGTCCCCGCGAGCGCCGCTCTCTTTTGCATACATTGTAAGCAGCATCATACATTTTTTGTTATTTACATGCACGTGTCATTGAACTGCTGTAGTTGAAATGCATGCTAGGAAATAAAAAACGGAAAGTGAAGGGTAGTGGAGAGAGAGAGAGAGAGCACTGTACTCGGCGCGCAGCATGTGCTGCAAGTGAAAAGCTGAAAATAGGGGTTGTTTGATGAGTTGCTGGTTCCATTTCTAGTTCTGCCGCGAATAAGATATGGGCAGATGCTCTCTCTCTCTCGCGCGCGGTGGCGACCATACTTTGTATGGAAAACCTACGTACGGCAGCGCACAATAAAGCAAACGAACCAACGACGAGAGCGAGAGCAAGCTGCTTTTGCTTTTCCTTCGCCCCCTTCATTTTCATCCATCAATTATTTAAAATAAAGAGCGTGTCATATAATAATATGGACCAAGGCTGATTTTTTAGAACCTATACCAGCGAGCGGCCGAACGTATACTTAGCAACAGCCACACTCAAAAGTTTACACTCGTGTCTGGTTTTGATCTAGTTTGTAAAGGGTAATGTAAAAAGTTTGGTATAAAATAAGTGTGGCTATATGAAGAGCACCCTGTTTAAAACAATAGTTAAATGCAATGAAGAGTATTATTTATTGAATATATTGAAATAACATTTGTAAAAAAAAATTTAAATTGAAATAATACTTATATATTTTTTTTTCTTATTAGAGTCATTTACAATTTTTCAAGGAAACTAAAAATTCCGTTTAAAAGAAAAATATATAAATTAAAAAAAAATTTATAAATAATTAACTAAATTTTGGGCTATAATAAATTTAAAAATAGGAGATCTCATATTATGTCTCAAGTATTAGATTGGATAAATAAATCAATGTAGTGCTGTTTATTATAATATATATTAATTTAGTAATTTGTGTATATTGTCACTTAAAAAAATAGCTAGTTTCATGAAATCTTGTTAATAAAATTAATATAAATTGAAATCACGAAAATATAATATTTAAAATGTTAAATGCGTATCGAAACTTCAGTGCTTTACACTGCCCCAGTAGCGTGGAAAAGAGGTGGGTGACTCTCACACAAAGGCACTCATTCTCCAACGCTCCCGAGTTTGCGCTGCACTGTATGTAATTATGCAAATAAATTGTCATGGGATTTCTAACTTAATCAGGTTTTCTCGTGCAGCGCACACAGCTGAAAACCCCGAGCATCAGCCGGGCGCGGGGTAATGCACGCACAATCCACGGATCGTTTGTAATATAAAACAAGATAGGGAGGCGACTTCAATATTAGCTACGCTCCGACCGTGCGTTTTTATTACTTTTCGCAAGCTAATGACGAAATTCGACACGAAGAAGCGTCAATGGGGTGCATCTGTGTTTGCAGCAAACTCGAAATAAAATTTTATTAAAATTGCAAAAGCGTGTAATACACAGACTCTCATTTTTTAATGATGGTGAAAACAAGTTTTTCCACGCGAGGGTGACATAAATATTTCCTTTACCACTATGACACACATTGCGGCGTCAATATTTGAATGTATAAAAAATTGAATATAGGAAATTGTTATTATTATATAATTCATAAAAAAAATTCAGAAAACTCTTCACTTGATTGATTAATTTATTGAAACTTTTAAATAAATAGACACATAATATATGATAAATAATGTATTTAAATTATAAAAGCAGTATAATCTATTATTTTCAATTCCAAAAATTATCTAAAAAAACTGCATTTAAAATAAATGTTGTTTTTAAATTTAATTTTATTAAGTTTAAAATTTTAAATAATTTTTAACTTTATATTGCAAAATTTTTAAAATAGATCGGTTTATTTCTTTTAATTATTTTTATAACTTTAATTTTTTATTTAATAAATATAAGTAAATCGAGTGTGGATCCAATTAATGTGATTGAAGCAATCTTAATCGAGTTTTTCTGGCAGTGATTAGTTTTGGTTAGATAATTTCATGAAATAAAAATATTATGGTTTCATTGTATTGTAGTAACACTTGATATATTTAATCAACTTTTAATCACACACATATCAAATTCTCATTCCTTCTTGTACGCATACATAACATTATTTACACAACACTTGACCAAAGCATATTAATTTAGTAGCATATGACGTAAAAAGTAATTAACAAGCTTGAATTGCGCAAGATCAAAACCGGCCAGGCCAAAGGGTTTGTTGGTCGGTCGGTGGAGGTATGATTACAAATTACGCCTGCACGATGGCTTTTGCTCTCTCTGTCAACGGGGACCAAACTCGGCGGATGGAGTTTGCGGATAACAATTTGGATGACTGACCGCAACTCTCCCGTCACAACTTTCGGCGAGCGTTATTAATAAATTACCACTTCCCTCGGCGGCAAACCGAACACGTTGCTGCGATTACGCCGAGGATGTGTCGCCGCCAGCAAAATGAGATTCTGGATGGTTGGTCCTTGCTCGTCGTAGTCGTTCTCCAACTGCAGGTCTGCGAAGTAATCGCCCTCGTCGTAATAGTCGTCTGCGTCGCCCGGCTCGTAATTGGATGGCAGCTCCGGAAAAATGTTGTATTCCCACATGGACAGGTCTGAGAAATCTAAAAAAAGCAATAATTACAGTTTTGAAATATTTAATTTATATAAGAATTAAAATTATAGATCTCTACCAAAATAAATTAATTAAATTCGAAAAATTTATCTTCTGAGAAAGAAATTTGTCCATCTTAATTTTAAATTGCAAGTTCCAGAAATATAAATTTAATAATCATTTACATTTTGTGCATTGATTATTGAGGACGTTTAATCAAATTGTGTGGGTCCTGATTTTTTTAGATGATGATGATATGTATTTATATTATTTTTTTTTTATAATAAAGATAAAGAATAGTAATTTCAGTAATAAAATATGCAAATTTTTAATTCCCAACTGCAGAATGTATATTATATTGTGCTAGGGGTATCAAATCTGTCTGCAATCGTTTATTTATGCAAAAGGCTGGTATTTATATTTTGTGAGCCGTCGCTGCAGAGCTCATTGCACTCTCACCCTGCTCGGACATCCGAGAGGGTTTAGTTTTTAGACTGGTCGGAAATCGAAAGGCGAGTGACTAATGTATGCAAATTAGACTCACCAGATGCGGGATAGTCAGCAGGAGCATCAGCTGCCGAAGTTGCATCGGACGAATGCATTTTGGCCGGCGACGAGTTGCTACGTTGTTGCTGCGCCGTTTCGCTTCTTTTCGCTCCCCCATGTTTTTCGCCATACGCTGCAGGCTTCTCTGCGACAATCAAATATGCACATCGTAAAAATTGTTTTCCGTTGGAAATTTACAATTTACGTTATAGAGGCTTGATGCAAATTTTTTGTAGCAATTGGACTGAATTGGATAAATTATCAACAATGAATTATTTTTTTATTCGGGGTACAAAAATAAATAGATTTGAACCACGTGTTTCAGATTTCTTCTACCATTTTTATAATTATCTGATTTGAAGAAAGTTTACGAAGTTAATTTATTTAAAGAGAAATATGTCAAGCTAAATATTTTTATTTTTTTTTCGTAATTTAGAAATTTTAATAATGAAATTAATCTAATTAAGAATACTTTAATTTTAGAGTAAAAATTAAAAGTACATAACATTTTTATAGAAAAAGAGATGCACTCAGGGGACAAATTTATGTAATTTTAAAATATGCAGATGATAACCGTTGATAAGATAATAAAGCAAAAGTAATTATGGTAAATTTTCAAGAATTTCAGTAGAATTCAGCGAGAATAAATTGATTATAATAAAGTTACAATAAATATAAAAATTACCCAATTAAAAATAAAAAAAAATGAGAGCTTGCCTTCTGCAAGCTCTTATTTTACACTTATCAGATAGTATCAGTCGGGAATTACGGAACAAAAGTACCTTAGGATTTTGAATTCCCCATTGTTGGGCACAAATTATTGAATTTTTCGTTTAATTTTAATTTTTAGAACATCAAATACACTTAAATAATTATTTAAAAAAAAAAATTATTACCTGCTGAATTGTAAAGAAAATTTTTAGCATGGTGGTGTCTGGAGTGCGGCAACGCTTGGACGAATTGCAAAAGCCAAAAGATGAGCACTGCGGTGAGCAGAACGAGTCGCAGGTGAAACATTATTTTGGAGTATGTATTCCACGGACGAGGTGCACAGTGCGAGAGAAGAAGTGAAACTGACCAGGGTCAGCATCCCCAACTCCTTTAGAGATCTTGGAAAGAGAGGGATGCGGAGGAGGGACGAGACAAAATCACTCTGGTGACAAAAATGTTTAATGGTTGGCTGACGGCATTAAAAATAAGGTGCTGACAAAAATTTCACGCAGACGGGTTAATCTGGCTTATTTTGACAGGAGCATGACTTTTGCTGGAGCAAATTATGAGGCACGTGCTCTCAGGTGCGTGAGAGGGTCAGGTGTCGGATTTGCTGCTGTTATGGGGACAAAGGTTTTGTCCTGTTTTTATCCTTTTACTATTTTCCTGTCTCAGCTGGAGATTTTTTCTGTCCCTCGTCATAGCACTCCAATCAGCAGATCGCGTAAAGTAACATTGGCGCCATAATATGGTTTTAACAGTGGTTGGAAATTTTCCTGTCGTGTCACCCTTTGTCAGCAGGGACAAGAAAAATAACATAGAATTCCTATTTACGTTTATTTGCGTCGAAGATACAGTTTTCCGCTTAAATAGAGATAATCGGTAAAATTGTTTTCTCCAGAAAAAATGAAATATTTTTTGTAGAGAGAAATAAATATATCAAAAAATTAAGCGGTTTGCTATGAATAGAATTGTAAAAATCCACGAAATTATTTATAAAATGAATTCAAAATTTTCAAGGGATGAAAATTAGTTTTATTAAGTCCCTTCCTTTCCAATTAAGATGTTTTAAGCTTTTATCAACATGTACTTGAATGCTTGAAAATAAGCCAACATGAGGAGGGAATAATATTATAATTGCCAATTATTTTCATAAATTTTAATAATTTTTTAAATAATAAAAATAGAGTAAAGAACTTTCACCGATTAATTTGATATTTCCATTACTTTTTACAGCGGAAAGTAAGTATACATTCTGTATTCTTGTGCTGCTTGAAATGTATTGCCATTTATTTTTATGCTTCTCAATCTCAAAGTAACAGTGTTATTGTCGGTTATTGTATACAAAAATAAAATTTATTACAACAATTAAAAAAAAAATGTATAAAAAATAGTGAATAAACAATGAGATTTAAAAAAATAAAACCTCTACATATTATTATATTTGTAATAACTAAAAAAAAAAAACAATTGCAATTAGCTTCCAATCTCCAATGTGAAATTTGACGCTCGATTCGGTCACGCCTGTTTGGCACCAAAATTTGAGCGTTCCCTCAACGGAAGCACGTGCTGCCTGGTGCTGCCGTTCTTTAGTGTGGTTTGCGTTGTTTTGTTTGGGTCGCTTCAACGCGGAGTAGTCATGGACTCGGCAAACGAAGACGATTGCGAAGAAGTTCAGAGGGTACGGACCGAGATGAGAGAGAAATTCCTTCGCCTAATGACTGCCCTTGCTGGTGAGTGTCCGATATTTGAAATTTTATTTGTAGTTTCTTTCTAATTTGGTTTCGAAAAGTCACTGTTTTTGTTGTTTATTCGAAAAGTTTGCGGGTTCGGGCACTGTTGCTCGTCGCTAGTGAGCCGGCACCGAATTTTGCGTTTGTGAAAAAGGCCACTAGATGGAAGATGGTGTGCGAGACCCGCGAACGTAAAGTAGGCAGCCTGCATTTCATTAAAGTTAAACCGGTTGCCTAAATAAAATTTATGTAACAAATGAGTAAAAACATTAATTAATATGTTTAAGGTCAAAAGTGCGAATTTTCAATGCTGGAGAAAACGAACGTGCGGGGCGAACTGAAGGGATGCGACCGGGATGTGTTGAATTTGTGCGTTTCGAATCTGGAAACGCCACTGGGTGTGATTCCGCAAGCGATTCTTCGCACCGAAGACATCGTTAGTGTCAAAGTGTCCAATTTCCCAGTAAAAGACGAGAATTAGAGACAATTGACTTCCAGTTGTGTAAAACTGTGTAAAACTTTGAATTTATTGTTTCAAGATTCACACCATGTATACTGAGATGAGATCCTTGCATTTCGAAAATACTTAGCTATATTATTTTAAGGCCTCAAACAAACAAAAATCTCACTCTTCTTGTGAGTATCTGTGGCATTCAGGCCTTTCTGTGGATCCGTCTTGGTTTTTGTTGTTCCGGTTCATCCTGTTCGTCTGCGCCATACAAATCCAAATCTTTGCCAAGATACCACACAACTAGGTCCAGTATAACTGCTATGAGCGTGATTGCTGAATAAAATCATAATTATTAAATATTTACAGTCACAAACATTAATTTTCCTTACAAGCAGCCCCGACGTTCATGAAGTATCTAAATTTTGATTTTTCATACAAGGAACAATTTCCTCTTTTTCCGCACGACTCATCCCAAATCAAGCACGACGCATCTTATTTTATTTAAAATTATAGTAAATTAAATTAATTAACAAAGACAACTTCAAAATTACCAATTAAAATTCCGAAAATGATTGGTCCTGGTATCAAAGCCAGCAAACTGATTAAAACAAGAGCCAGGCCCTGTGCAAAAGCTTTATCCATGGGCTCCACACACCTGAAATTATTCATAATGTTTTATCTTTTTTAATTCGAGTCATTTTGAAATTGTTTAAAAAAAATGAAAAAAAAATGCTTACAGAAAACCGAATAAACGTAAGGGAAATCAAATACCTGAAATTGACTAGAATATTTCCAACCCTGGCAGAACTGCCGATCATATGCATGAAACAGGTGCCCACAATGAACCAGATGAACATGTAGCGACAATCTTGGATACAAGTGCCCTCGGTGGCAAGAATTGATCCGAAGACTTCAGGCACGGTGAAGTTGTTTTGAGGGAAGGCGGCACCAGCGCAGGAGCAGTTGGAGAAGGTCTGCATGGAATTCATTGTAAAATTAAAAAAAAAAAATGTCTCAAGAGAAAATTTTCCCTTTTCTGAACAAATTAATAATGTTTCTTTAATATTTTTTCTCCGACTACAATCAATTTAAGATAATTTATTGGATTTTTTTTTTGCATTTTGAACAACAAAATAACAAGTTAAATCAAAATGAAATTTTGATATTTTAATTTTTTTTTGTGGCAAAGAGGAAATTGTAGGGTAAAAAACAAATAATTAAATTAATTTTTGTTATGAAAAAGATAAATGTTGAATTCAACCCCTTTCTTCTACATTATCATTATTTTCGTTTGAATCCGATTGAAATGAAAATTAACATACAACATTCCGCTGAATTCCTTCCAATCCTGCATACTGCGTGTCGCAACCCGCATGACACGCCGAGTAAAAAGTGGTGCCCTCAATGCACACGGGCGAGAATCGAATGTCGGCAGGACAGGCACAGCCAGAATTGCACTCGGAATTGAGCTGGAAAGGCCTGCATTGAATTTAAAAGATTAAAAAATAAGCGAAATAAAATTTTGTTACTCACGTTCCCAATGAATTGGTGCCATGGACAATGTCATCAGGGCAGCCGATGAAGATGAAACATACTTCGGCAAGGACGTACGCAAGTCCGGCGATTACGTTCCAAAATAAAACTATCCTCGGTCGCGGCTGGAACTTTGAAATCACGATCCCGGAAATCAAAAAACCAAATGTCATGGCAAGGAGGCCAGATGTTCCTAAAAATTAATTGAAATACATTAAAACATAATAAGCAGAAATAATTCGAATTTGCGAGTTGAACGATGTGAAAATTGAGGGAAACCCCCTTTTTAAAGGGCTGTGCATCAAAAATGAAAAATGTCAAATTTAGTGTCGATGCTAATTTAATTAAAAAATCTCTGAATTTTCTAAGATTTCTTTGAATTTAATGTAAACTGATTCGCAGACTACAGATATGTCCAAAACAAAGTTTATTAAAAATTCATATTATTCAATTTAATGCATCAGTAGTGGGAGTAAATTAGTCCGAAATGTTTAAGGTCACATTTAATTTTGGTAATATGAAAAGTGATTTTTTTTCATTAATTTTAACCCTACTCGTTCTTCTTCATAAGTTTAACTATTTGGTTTACGAAAATTCACACCTGCCAACATGCTAGCGCCGGCGGCAGACTTGTTGTACTGTATTTCCATGTACTTGATGCTGTAAGTGATGTAACCCGAAGCCCCGAGAATGTAAAAAACGGAAGACATGATGTTTGTCATCAGCAGCTTGTTGCACAAAATTCGCTTCAAAGCCGTCGGGAAGTCTGCAAAGTACCCAAACAATCGTAAAAAAAATACACCTCAAATCCTTTTTATCGCGGAGTACCTTTTAGTCTTGGCTTTTCTGGCTCGGCCGGACTCAAAAGAGGAGCTCCGGACTTGCTTCTCTTGGGCGGAAGCGATCTGGGGAAGAGGGAAATGAGCATGGCGAACACCAACATGAGCAAGCCGAGGAAAATCCAACCCAACCACCAGGCGCCGAGCCACCGGGGGTCCTGTTTGTTGATCACTGGGGTCATGAAAGGGTCGATGTACATGCTCAGGCAGCCAAAACTGATCACGAAACCCAGAGCAGGACCCAAGGTTCGAAGGGCGAGAGTCATTCCTTAAAAATGGACAATATAGTTATGTTATATCACGATTTTTTTTTTAATTAGAAAAATACATGGAAATTTACTGAGAATATTAATTACTTGTTTTTTTAAATTGGGATAATGTATTTCTTGTTACATAATTAAGCTTGGACATTTAAGGCACGTTTTAAATTAAATGTAATGATCAAACTGGTTAATATTACCAATGTAGTGTAAATATGTATTTACTTTTAGAAGGAAATATAACGTAAAGTTAGGAAACCAAGCCAGAAAAATAACGCTTTGAAAACAAATTTTCTGTCAAAATTCTAAAATTTAAGCCAGAAATCTCAATTCCCCTCAAAACAGAAGTACATTTTGATCTTCAGAAAATTAATTATGCCAGAAGCAACGTTTCAAGGAAAAGGCAAACACAAAATTTTGAGCATGACCAGGAGGGTGATTTATCAATTAGCAGCCTAATTATTTTGAGTTTAGTAATTATATTAATTTTTTAATGAAAAGAGTTGTTCAAGGGGATTTTCATTAAAATGTGCATGTTATTATTAATTTTCTCAATTTCAACTCTCAAAATTAATAAATAATGTAATGAATTGTTTTCCCCCATAATTCCGAAAAATAGAACCTATTTAATAATATTTAATTATTTTTCAAAATAGCACTTTGGTATATAAAGGTCCTATTAAATTTATTACGATGAATTTTTATTTAACTCTTACTCACCTAAGAGAAGAGGTGTTTTGGTTTTTCTTGTATTGTCGTCCAAGTAAATTTGACCGAGGGCCCAGTACAGGGTGGTTCCGATGCCGAGCACGAATTGCGAGAGGAAGATCAAGAGAATGGGTACCAGGGAGTAATTTCCGTCGGTGCTGTTGTTCTCGTCGGCGGTCAAGCACGCCTCCTCCATCTCGGAGGCGCGTTTGGCGAACTCGGTGCCGCATTTGGGGCTCGTCAGACCCATGATGCTGCTCTGCATGTAGCTGTCGTTGACCGCCGCGTTGAACTCCTTGGTCAGGGCGAGGGCGTCCCTGCCGGGCCCATACATGGCGTGCGGCAGCGCCAGGATGAAACAAGAAAGGGCAGAAATGGCCACGCCGCACGCGATCCACCGCGGACGGTTTCCGCGACCCCCGAAATATGTCAGCAGGAGGGATAGTAAAATTTGACTAATCTCGTTTCCACTTAGCATCAAACCTAATTATTAGGTTCATTACAAGTAAAACTACAAAATTTGATTATCTTTAAAATTGCATTTACAATTAGTAGAAGATTTCAGAAATTTACACAAACTTATTTCAATAAAGAGAATTCCCTGCAAATTTCAAAATGAAAATATTTAAAAAAGAAATTAGATCATTACATAAAGGATCAAATTAATTTGTATTAAAAATACTTGAAAATAATTCCACTTTGGTAATGGAAATTTGCAAACTCGTGCAATATAACGTTTAGAACTTATTTTAATAAAATATTATGCAAGAATGTGTGGCTAAAATCAATAATAATAAAATATTTACATTTTGATTGTTCAGAATTAAAAAAAAATGCCCATGATTAAAATTTTTTCCAAAAAATTGATCAAAATTTAAATTCAGATGTATCATTGGGCTCATATAAGTTCTAAATGTAAATTAAAGGAAATTATTCAAAATAAACAAGTTTTTAGAAAATTTTGTTATGAAAGGAGATAGAATAAAAAGTTTCAATCGTGCGCAAAATAAACTTTTTCTGCGTAATTTTTGAGAACAAAAATTTTGTAATCAGTTGGTTGAAATCAAAGAATATATAATTTACCAGTGGTTTTGCTAGGAATTTTGAACCGCCTCTCCATTGTTGTCAGCGTGGCTACAAAGTACACATAGGCCATTGTCTGTGTGGTTCCCAAGAGTCCGTAGACCCATAAAAAGGTCTTGGGATTGGCCCACCTCTGCAACCATTGTGGTCTGCAAATCCACCAGCCACAAGAAGTTGCCTTTGCCGACATCCCTGCAGAGATTTTAACGTATCCTTAAAAAAGTAAAAAATGACGAGAAATAAATTCAAGACCTAAGAATATATTTTAAATGAAATTTTAGTGTCCATGTTCAATGTATTTTTACAGATTGAAAATAACTTGGTTTTAGAATTTGCTTATTATATTCAGAATCATCAGAAATGATATATTATTATAATAAAATATGCTATCAACATTGTACGAGGGCACAGGGGGGCAAAGTACTAATAAATTTGGCGAAATCTGCGGTATTTCTAAAACAAATCTCCAAAAACCAAGAAATTTTGCAATTTTCAATTTAAATATTTTGTGTTCAGATTGAATGATTTGCAAATGGTTTATGTCTGAATATTGAAGACTGCGCACATGTCGTAAGAAATGTGTTGCTGATTCGGGGAGACACCTGCACGCATTTCTTAAGACGATAAGACGAGTCAAGGCTGCGAATCAATAATTAAAAGCAGCGCCTCCGCGTTCGTCAAATCGATAATAATGCGTCTGCTGCTGCCTATCACCGCGCACTAGATTTGTATATTTGTCATTCCGTCACCACCGCGTGCGCGACAAGATAAAGCTGCTGACGAAGGAGAACAAGATCAGCTCACGTTATTTCCCTCTGGGCTTGAAATGACAAAATAGATCGTCTAGATCGGTAAATATTTTTGCAATTCCTGCAAATATCAATACTTATATAAATTGCAAACACAACTCTGCAATTGTATGATCATCAACAAGGAATTTAAACATCTTAGAAATTTCTTGCACTTTAAAAAAATAATAAATGTTATGTAATAGATTATAAAAAAAAATAAAGGAATGTCTGATTTGATTTTCATTAGAATTTGCAATAGTTTAAAGTATTTACCAGAATATTTACATGAAAATAAAAAAAACTCCCCTACGATTAAGAAAGTGAGAAAGACTCAAAATGCGCATAAGCAACAAATCATTGACATCATGTAAATTTAATTCCAAGGCAATGAGCCATTAACAAAATTTACAATCTTAATTGTTAACAATAGGTCAATCCCCTCTCACTGCCCTAAAAGTGCAAATCTTTATAGCTCATAATCACTACAGCTTTTATAATAGTTTTTACTTCAATATTAATTTTTTTTCGTCCGATTGCGTTCTCCGCAATCTCGGAGATATCATAAAAATGCACTTATTATCTCTTGTACAGTTACTCCCTGGTGACAAGTTCAATAGGATTGAATGCTCCTTTCTTTCCTCTTTTTAGTCCATGAAGACGTGTGAATTCGTGGAAAAGATTTTGAATGATCAGATTTTGAACCTCCAAATATAAAGCAACGTGTTTTCGGCTTACCTAAAGTTGGTGATACGTGCGAGTGGACTAGATCTGCAGCAATCCGAGCACTTCACCACTCTAGCTGGCACTGATATTGTAAGCTGATTGTGAGCGGACGTCTCATCGCTTTTGATAACCGCATTAATGGACTCGTCTCAACAATTGTGCTCAGCCTTACATCACACATGATGAGTTTGAATGGGCTGCAATCAGCTGCGGCCAATGGATTTTGTGAGCTTAATTTTGATTTATAGAGGGACTTCCTGCAAAAAAGATAATGAAAAATGTGTTGACCCATGAAGGATACTTAATACAGATATTAATTAATTATATAATTTTAGAGGCAAGAAGAAGAAGACCTTTATTGAAGTGTAACCGCTTAAATATAAGCTGAATCGAAAAATTATATTTAATTAAAATTTATCGTCAGTTGAATAATGATCTTCATATGAATATCGTGGATGAATTTTTTGTTTTTGTTTTGCGTTGTAAAGAACTTTAACCATTGATCTTATTTATAACTGAAAGCTAAAACATTGGACTGTGACTCATAACTCATAAGTTTACATTAACATTAACCATCAATAACATGATAAATAAAAAATTATTTTTAACATTTGAGCCAACTTTACTGGAGGAAGCTTAATTTTATTGAAACTATTAAAAGTAAGAAAATAAAATTGTCCTTTGCATAAAAAATACTTTCACCACTGCACGATTTTGCTATATAATAAATATAATTATCACTTTAGCTCAAATGGCAACAATTAAACCTTTTTAAATCTGGAAAAATATTTTGACCGCTCTGGGGTACCCTAGAGAGTTCTCTCTAGTTGTCATAATCAATTTTCGTCAAAATCATTGTGCTTAAATTATTAGGGTATGATGATGGAATTAAATTTAAAATATAAAACTTGAACGTGCCATTATGCAAGCTCAGAAGGGGCACAAACCAATAAGGCGCAATTAATCATAAAAAAAGCATTGGACTTTTTGGTTTGTTTCAATGTAAGTTAATTTTTTCTAGCACACACTGCAATTTTAATAATAATAAAAAAAAAAAAAAAAAATGATGATTAAGAAAGTAATGTGGCCATGGAAATCAATTTTAACACTCAGATGTAGAATTTTCAAAGTATAAAAAATAACTTTTCATTCATTTTAGATCTTTTTTCATATTTTTTTTTTTTTTTTTTTTTTTTTTTTTTTTTCTTCATAAAAGCAGAGTAAGATGTTAAAACTCGCCTAGCAAAATATTTGGCTTAGGATGCGAAATGAGCCAAACAGCATTATTTGGAATGTATTGAAATGCGCTTATCTCCTATAATGATGTGAAACCTACATATCTTCCATACCAATTACAGAGCTTTTAAAATTTTAACTAAACCAAGGGCACTCACGCAAACCCTTCAAAAAGCACGAAATCAATTAGGTGCTTATTTCAACAAAAGATTTACCTTTTTTCCCATAAGCCTCCTCCTTTTTAAGTGGCCTTTTTGCCATCCTGTTTCCACGAATTTTTGCTAAGTTATGTTTATTCAAACTTTTTCACGTAAACATTTCCGTCATTCTTTTTGCTATACGATCATGCGTCCATGGGAGTCGAAAATATTTGAAGCCTGCTTCAAACAGTTTATAAATAATTGAAATTATCTCGAGTGCTGTGCAGAATCAAAGTGGTTCGCTCGGAACGCCGAGTAACCATGGTGCTAACGGGGGAAGTGCATCATGGAAGGAAAAACTCCAGACCTCTCAGGGACGAACGAGGAGGAAACCTTAAAACATCTCCGTAGGATATTTTGCGCCCACGGCCACGTGCTCATTTTCAGCAGATGTGAAAAAATGAGGGCACGTGGCCACGTGTTATTTGGGAGTTGCTATGCCGGTACCATTTGCCTTACATTATATTGTACCCTATAATAGTATGAATACACCCCGATAAATTTATTTATAGACTGCTTGCCAAAGATTCTACACCCCAATCAAATAAATGACGAAATGTTGGATGGGAAAAATATCCATGTTAGAGTTTGGTTGACTGACATCAAAGTAAGCCAATTTCCAAACAGATAACTAATTAAGTTAGTCGTGAATCATATCAGTCATGTTGGTAAATTAACTCTTAAATTGTCTATGAAAAATGCTGTTGAAACTTGGGTCTTATTCAGGATGCAATTTTTATATGCAGTGGGTATCAATAAATACATTTGTTTATACAAGAAGGAAAATAAGCCGATAAATTGTGGCCAAAATTGGGTTAAACCCCATCAACCCGCAAATATTATTAAAAATGCTCATGGGGTGAATGGCTAAATAAATAATAACATTAAATAAACTTAAAGAAAAGAGTGAATAAATATGTTGATTTTTTTTTCTTAATTTAAGAATTTGTTATGATAAAGACGATTGATCAATTTAAAATATTTATTATAATTTGATAATATATACTATTCAATTTTTCTTGTGTTCAGTCTGGTCCAATCAAAGGGGAAGAGCATGTGGTGGCACATTTTCAAGCCAGTTTGTAATCCCCAACACAATTTTTATCATAGACAATAAAAACGATGCTCGCCAGATTTTTTGTCATTAATAAAAGTTACTAAATTTTATGTTATGGTTTTCAGTGCTGCTATCTTTAAGGTCATGGAGAATTTCACAGCAAAGCGACAGTATCATTTCCCCACATTGTACACTTCCCTCTGGAAATCAACTTTTACGCAGAACGGCGTATTAGCGCAATGTAAATTCCATCTTTTGCAACTTTACCATTGCGAATATTATATTGAATATTGAGGAAGTAATCCAATACAAACACAATTCACATGGCATACTTCACAAAATTGGAGGTTGAAGAAAATCGTTATATTCCCAAAGAAATTATAAAAATATCCAATATTTTTTGAGAAAGTAAAACTCGATTCCAAGAAACGGTGAAAAACGCCCTTGTGGAAAAAACTCGTAATGAAAATAAGAAAAATAAAAGAGGCGCAACTCTGTGGTGGCGCGATATCGATCGCAGAAAAGGTGAGCTGCTTTTCGAGTGAGAGAGGAGATTGGCGAGAGAAGCCTCAAATTATTGATTTTCTCATCCGGGCGAATAAGAAGCGAAATCTGGGAAAAGGGTTTGGCTTTTCCGCGTAATCGCGCCCAGGCCGCAGCCAATGCCAGTACCCGGGAAAGCTAAACTCGGATCCAGCGAGTGCTAATCCAGGCGCAGATTGAGGATTGGCTCATCTCGGCAGCCAATGTGCAAGCGCCTGGATAAACGCAACCCGCACCGCATCAGCCTCGCTCGCCGCGTTCTCCGAGAGGGATCAATAAAAGAAGTGCGGCGGCGAACGCGCGCAGGGGTGTGCTCTCGAGCTGCGCTGCTGCGAGGGGCTGATCACCACCTACCCCTCTTGGAAGCGGCCCAATTCGAGCGGATCCCTCGGTGCTCGCTCTCGGCTTAGGCCGCACAAATTTATGGAGGATTTGGTGCCGGCGGCGAACGTGATTTTATTCTGCCACCGACGACAACGCGTTCCCACGACTGGCCTGATTAACTCGAAATTCGCGTGCTCCTTTTCTTATTTGCAGAAAGGGTTGTTGGGCTGAAAAAAAGACTTTTTCGTGGGATAATAAAATCAGTGAGAAATTGGAAGTTCTGAATTTTACTATATTTGTACCAGCATACATTTTTTTGTAAAATTTTTAGTATCGAATAAGAATAGTTATATGAAGGCGTTTAAAAATAAAAATTTGTATTTACTGTTTTGAAAGTATATTATTTTGATATTTTATCATTGTCTTAACTCAAAAGTTACTAAAAAGGTCTTCTAAACCTTTCTTTTGAGAGTATGCTTAATTTACTCTTAAAAATGATATTCTTGTAATTGACATCAGGCTTTGAAGGTTCACCATAACCAAAGTATTGCGCCAACTATGATTGATTCTTGTTTCCTTTAATAATAGAGAGGTTGCTGCAATTGCTATATAAAGAAAGAAAAGAACATAGTATAGAAGAGCTGAAGTGCTTTCATTCATATTAAAACTGGAGCTTGAAAAATGCAGTTTGTTTAGGTCAGGGAAGTTGACAATTTTGACTTGCGGCAAAAATACTTTTTATTTTATTGAAATATTTTCATTTAAACTAGAATTTAATTAAAAATAGTACCAGGAATATGAGGGGAAAAGTAAAAATAATCAATTGAATTTTATTCCATGTTAAAATTTAAAAATATCTTTCAAAATTAGTGGTATTGTTAATTTGTATCTTTTTTCTTTTCTTGATCAATGTGAATTGCTTTTAATTTATGATTGAATGCAAGGAATAATTATTTAACGTTTTTGTTTGTTTATTATTTATTTCATTAACATTAGTTTCGTCATCAAATTAATAAAGATCAGTGTGCAATTATAATTAGTTAACTTCCAACATTATCAACATTATTCAACAAGGCACAAAATTCATTTTATCACATTACAAAATCTGGTCAAAAAATACTGAGAGCCTCCGAGTGTGTTGCGCTAGTCTACATAGTATACATATATCTTCTAAAAAGTACTGAGCACCTCTCACTATCTTTCTTTTGATATCAAATACATGTCTGCAAATTAAAAAAAAAAAAAAAAAAAAGCTATCCGTTTTTACTTTAGTCATCTCGGGAGGAGCACGTGTAAGGAAGAAATCGATTCTCTTTGAAAGGATGTTGGCAGTTGCGCGCGCGAGAGTCCTTCGCTGCTCTTTCCTCGCAAATTGCTGCCGTTCACCGACTATCCGCCGCGGGGTCGGCGGCACTACTGCTTATTGGCTTGGCGAGCACTCCATTATCGGCCCTTTGTACTTCAATCAGCTCGCGCTCCTCCTTGGTGCCCTTGTTTTCGTCCTGCTTGGGCTCGTTGTCGAAGATCTGCAGGTTTTTCACAAAGTACCACACGCCGATGTCGAACATCGTACCAATCAGTACAAAAACTGGAAAGCATATTTTGCTTAATAATTTGTTGCATTTTGTTTTAACACTTTCTAGATTTTGAATTCTACTGAATTATCTAAACAAAATCCAATATTATTTAATTGATTTTTTTTAAATTAATAAAACAAAAATAGCAGGATTTTAACAGGGTCACAACGGTCCGACTTTTTCTGAAAATTTCTTTTTTGTCTAAATAGCAGCTCTATTTTTGATGGGGAAAAAATAGTCTCATTTGATTTCATCGGAACCCCTTCCTTGCGTAACAAATTTTATTTTCAAATTAAGAAATCTTAAGTGACTATAAACGTTGATTTTGGATCACAATTGAAAAAATGAAAAAAAAAAATGTTGATTTTAAGAATAACCCTGTCTTGAAGCTTTCCTAAAAAATTTTATATCTTACCTGCGGCGGTGAAATTCATGATGAACCTCATGGACTCGCCCTCATAAAGCCAACAGTTTCCTTTCCTTGTGCACGTCTTACCCCAAACAACGCAAGTACTGTCTGCTCAACAAATAAAAAAACTCAAAATCAGCTCTTAAAAACCTTCCCAAGAACTCACCAATGATGTATCCAAATATAATCGGCGATGGAATGAAAACGAAAAAGCTAAAAAGCATCATTCCGAACCCTAAAGATGTTGCCTTGTCTTTTTCTTTCACGCATCTATGCAAATTATATACAATCAATATTTAAATTTTTTTATTATTAAATCGCACCTGACGGAGACCAAAAAGTTGCTGGTCCTGCCAGACGAGCCTGTGAACTTAAGTAGGCACACCAGGGCGATGTACGAATAGAACATGGTTGTGCAGTCAACAGGACACGGCCCTGAAAATGCACGGCCACCGAAAAATTGTGGCAGAGCCAAATTGGTGGTGATGTTTTCGGTCAGCAAGTCTTGGACGGTTTGATTGGACACATCAATTATGTCCATTTGGAGGGATGCTGACCTCGTTGAGGACGGAATACATGAGCAGTCTGTGAAGATCTAAAATCAAATAGTATATTAATATGTTAATTATGTATGAAAAATTATTGTTTAAATTAGAAAAAATTGCTATAAAAAGTAGATATCACATTTGGCAGAACTGAGCTTTTATATAATTGAAACATCAAAGTAGGAGGAATGTTTCAAATGACACAAAAAATTACTAATGATTTATTGCTCTTACTTTTTTACCATCTTCCATAATGAAATCTCTACATCCGGCGTGACAGGCGGATATGAACGTCGTTAGGCCATCCTCTGAGCACACCGGTGAATATTTCACAAAATCGCAGTCGCAGTTCATGTTGCAAGCTTGATGGACCTCATCTCTGAAAAATTATAAAATTTTATTTAATTAATTGTAAATAATTTTGTCCAAGTTTGATTATGCAACTTGCGAAACAGTGGTGCCACGCAGGTTGCATACCATCGAAACCAACGTACTTGTGCATGACCATCTGCGTGCTCTGAAAGTCGCTCTCGCTGCACCCCAAGAAGGGGTAGATGAGCGTCGCCGCCACGGCAATCAAGGACACGATCACGTTCCAGAACGCGAGCGACCGCGCTCCAGGCTTGAAACGCGTAATGACAAAGCCTGATATCAAAATTCCAAAGGCGGAAAACACAAGACCAACGGAACCTATTAAAAAAATCAACAGTATTTAAAAAAGTTCCTTTGAAGGCGATTTACCTGTGAAGAAACTTGCCCTGGCTGCAGAGATTCGGTACTGCACCTCGATGTACTTGGGCGTGTACATCCAGAAGGGCATAAAGCCGAACATGTAGAAAATTGCGGCCAAGGTGTTGCACATGTAGACTTTGTTTTTCAACAGCCGCTTCACTGTCTCAATCATATCTGTAAATTAAGTTGAAGATTTTTATACGAATGTTTGATTCTTTATTGTTTGTCTATTGTTTTTTAACATTGAAGTTATATTTCACGTGAATTTCACAAGAAAAATAAATAATGGCATTGATGGTATCAAATATTTTTTTTTATAATCTAGAGTAAGCTTGCTCATCTGTAAAACAAAAAGAAGCATAAAAATATTATAAATATTCAACGTTCTAAGTTCTAAGAATAGTTTTTAATAAATCATTTTTTATGGACATGATGAAAAAAAACCCAACTTTTCTTTAATTTCTAATTAAAAAAAAGAATACCCGAGAGTGATGCTTTCTCGCTGCTGGCAGTTTGTTCCACCGTTTCGCCTCTGGCTCTGGCCTCGCGCCTCCTGATCACCGTCCTTGGCATCGTTTGCGGAAACATTGCGATCAAGAATGCCAAGATGATGAGCAGGACCCCCAGCACAGCCCATCCGGCCCACCAGGCGCCCAACCACCTTGGGTCAGTATTGGTGATGGTCGGCGTCAGTGAGGGCGAAATGTACGTTTTGAGGAAAAACGATCCGATCGAGTATCCGACGGCTGGACCGAGCATTTTCATGAAATAAGTCACACCTTTTGTAAAAGAACAATATTAGTTTAAATATTAACAGATTTGGCAGAAACGTACTGACAAGTGCAGGCGTCTTTGACTTTTTGATGTTATCGTCCATGTATGATGTGCCCAGTGTGTAGTAAAGGGAGCCTCCGAGACCGGAAACAAACTGGGCCAGAAAGAGGAGGGCAGCTGGCGCAGTCCCACTTTCCTCTGTTGCATGAGGATTCTTACATTCGGCGCCGGCTAAACTGTCATTGAATCCAGCTCGGCACAGGGTTTTTCGTTTCATAATCACTATAACAATAATATTTACAATTAGAAAAAACTATTAATAAAATTTTTAATTTAAAAAAAAAAATTTAATTTTCTTTTTAGTTTCGTATTATTACTGATTTATTAAATATTTTGTATATTTTACACGCCTACCAATATACTTACTTAACTAAAAATTCAAAAATTATATCACATGAATGATAATAACTGAAGGATAAAGTTAAAAAAATCATTAAAAAAGGTGTATATTAAAACATTATAATAACTGTGGTGTGCATGAAAAAATTCTAGCTCTCTCCTTGTATAAAATCTAAAAATTAAGCTAGCAACTAATTACATGGTATCAAAAATTCACTTGAAAAGGAAATTGAAAAATTCGTTTTTAACTTTTCCACCAAGAAATTACAATTTTCAATTTGAATTTATAGCAAATAGGCTATACAAAGTATTTCAAATTTTTCTTAATAAAAAATAACTGAAAAGAATGAAAAAAAAAATGCTTAATGTTTTGAAGTTTCCTTTAAAATAAGAAATGTAATTGAAATAATGCATGTTCTTTAAATAAATTATTTATCTTGTATCAGTGAGGAGAGTGGGGCTAATGTCCAAAATTATTACAGCTGATTACGTAAAACTCACAGTGGACGTCGAAGTCAGACGAGTCGCTCAAGCCGCCGTGTTCTGTGGTGAGGCTGAGCGCGTCCTCGCCAGGACCCCAAATCAGGTGCGGCAGCAAAGTGATGAAACAAAAAAGGGCCACACAGAAAATGCCCACTGCCATCCAGCGCGGCCGGTGACCTTTGCCCGCGTAGTAGCCGAGCAGACCGGCGGCGAACAGCGAGCTGATGTCATTTCCAACAGATATCACACCTATTACGAAAATCAAAAAGTAAATTATTGCACGCTAAGCGACCTTCGTAGTGTAAACACATTAAGTCCGCGTTAGAATGATTTATTATACTCTACATAATTATTTTTAAGAATAATGATAGTAAATGTCAATAATTATAATACTTACAATGAAAATATAATTACTAGGGAAATGATAAATAATAAAATAGAAACTAGAAAGTTAAAAATAATAAAATACAAATAAATCAAGCTCAACATTTCGAAATCTATAAAAAATAGATTATAACACAATTGAATTTACCTTTTTTATCCTTTATTTTTGTAATTTAATTTAAATTAAGAAAAAGGCTAGGATCGAGATTAATTTATTTTTCTATAATCACTTAATATATCAATTGATGATGGTTGCTGTAATACTAAATATATTTTTTTCAATCATTTTCATTGTTGATAATGAAATTTACACAATGTAAATAAGAAAAAATTATTTGAAATGTTAAAATATTACATAAATTTTTAAATTACAAAAAAAAAAATGTTATTATTTTTTTAACAACTATTTTAAATTTAATAAATTATATTATTGTGGAAAGTAAATTTTTGTGTAACATTTTGAAAATTATAAACACAGTGTCGGAAATAAATTAAAATACCTGTGACTTTGCTGGGAATTTTGAATCTCTTCTCTATAGTGGAAAGGGTTGCGTTTGAATAAGCGTAGGTGGAGCCGTAAATGCATCCAAGCACACCGTAGACTATGATGAATGTGTTTTTATTGGCGAAGTATTTGCTGAAAAAGGCCAATTTCCTGCACGGCCCAAATCCACAACTGGTGTCCACGTCCTCTTCGTCCTCGTCATCGTCGACCTCGCGCCGGATGTCGTCGTCCAGCGGCTCCTCCTGGTTGACCGGTTGCATTTTAGGACGCATGGTTTCGAACAAATTTCCAAGCCACTGGCCGAAAAGCGTCGCGGCGGCGGCCGAGCAGCGTGGTGCGTCTCGTTGAGAAGAGGAACCGCGACTCTTCTGCGGCTGTATCTTTCTATCTTGAGCGGACAACCTCCGCTTCAGATAACAATCCATATTGTACACATAAATACGCGGTCGAGGCACACACACACTGTTGGTGTGTGACGCAGCACCCGCTTATTACCACCAGCAGAGCACACACTTTTCTCGACCGATCTCAGATCAATCGAAGCATTGGCGCTCGGGGAGGGGCTGTCTGAATCTAATTGATCCCGTGATCCAATGACTAAATTTTTTACTCGCATCGTTTTTAGATATTAAGAAAAAATGAAATGAGAAAATCTTATGTCAAAAAAAAAAAAAAAAAAAAATTAATTTACTTGTCCAGATCTTATTTTTCTAAAATTTAATATTTTTTCTTGGTAATTTGAGTTTTGTGATTTTCTTTTAGCTAGCGTGTTGTGTTGCTAAATTTCAGATTAAATATCTTCGTTTGAATAGCTGGATTTTTAATTAAATTATTATTTAGAAACAGTTAAAAAAATTACAATTTAAACACTGTATTTTATTACTTTCAAAATTTTATTAACATTATGATAAAGTTTCAAATAAAAATTTTTCTGATTTTTTATACAGCTATTTAATAGCTGAAAAATTCTATCAGCCTAAAAAAATTGCCTTTTTTGTGTAAAAAATCGTGGGAGACTATAGAGACTGACAAATTGTTGAGGAAAAAGATAATTATAATCCATGCCTAGTTCATATAATCAATAATTTGATTTCCCTTGGTAGCAACCCATTCTGCAACAATAAGAAGATAAGGGTTGATAAGGCAGAACCACAAAAAAGATTTCTTTATAATAAATATTTTTAATAGAAAACCAAGTATATGAGTTCAGCTAATTTGAGGATCACAAATAATTACTTTTTATGCGTTTTTGTATGTTTTAGATCCTTTATATAGAATTTTAAATAATCAAGAGTAAATTGCTGAACTTATTTTGCTGATTTTGCACCATCATCGTAAGTTAATGATCTCTATTTATTAATTTTTCTTCCATAATTACGTTCACGGCGCTAATCTGAGGTCAGAGAGTTGTTATTCCGATATCGGAAACGTTCGCTCAATGGCCATGCTCATTTCCTTCTGTCTGCAGACTCTGTTTGCGGAATTGATAAAAGGCGGTTTGTGTGTAAATCGATACTAAGTTGCTATTTATTCTCGTTTTTCTGCGCGGATTGTTTTTCCAACGCACGTGGACAAGCAGCGGTCGCCCCTGGCAATAAGTATAGATGCACACAAGACCACTAAGTTACGTAATAGCTCAAGCTGCTCAATAAAACCAAAAGTCATTAAAAAACGTTTTCTCAATATTAAAAACTTATATTATAAATTATAACTTTAAATTGAAAATTTAATTTACTTCTAATAATCATAAAAAAAAATTAAATTTACAAGCTTGCAAAAGAGCTTAAGCTTAAGAAAATGATTTTGCAAACTTAAGATGAATTGCTAATTGATCATAATTAATTATTAACCATTGTTTTAACTTTATAGTGGAAATTGATTTTTTAAGTTCCAATTCACAATTTTGCTCAACTTTGAATATATTAGAGAAGAGAATACAGGTAATTTAGGTGAAATCATGATAAACTTACGATGAAACATCTTTAGAAATTATATGTGTATAAACGAGATAATTCCATAATTTGCAGCAGGATTGCTAATTATTATTATAGATGAATAGGTTGAATTTGAAATAATCATTATCTGATTCTACACGCATTTAAACCCTCATAATTACACCTAAATATTATACATATCATTTTAATTAATTGTAATTTTTAATACTATTTATTTAATCAATTGCCAAATGGTATAACTATTGAAAAATTGTGTTTTTTTTTTAAATTAGTGTGTTATTTGTGTTACTTAAATTATGTTTATTTCCATAACAATCACGTGGCTTAGTCCTATACAAAAAATTAAGTGTTTTACGTCACACTGCATCAATCAAACGTTCATTCAAACAACTCACTCCCCTTTTCTATTCATAGCTCTTTCTGAATGCAATACAAAGATCAAGTTCACTTGCGAGCATTATCACTTTCGTCACAGTTGGTTTTGAGTTTCTTTGAATGAAAATTTAATCCTGGGGCGCGGGAGGAAAAATGCTTTTCCTCGGTCGCTGTTGCCAACCTTGCAGAAAACCGAAGGATTGAATTGACCTCTCGCGGCAATTGATATTAATAACGAAATCTCCATTCTTCGCGCGCGTACAATGAAGTGTTGCACATTCCCTTCAAGGACCGATAATTGTGAGCTGCGTGGAAATTCGCACGTTTGTGCGACTCGCCCTAGTCTGTCTCGTTTAAAGCACGCGAGAATTATTGTGTCCGTTGCGCATATCTCAGTCTGTGCGAGTGGCCGCGCCACGACGTGACCCTTGAACCGATCCGTAATCTCCCAGAGTCTGATGTTAGCTCACCAAACAGAGGACCAACATGGCGCTGTAACACACATCCCCAGCCCAAAGTTGAATGCACTGAAGGAGACACACTAAACTCGAATTGCAGACTCTTTGATTGAGTCTGAATGGGACGCATTTGTGGTCATACCGACGGTTTTTTCCTTGTGTGTATACTTTGAATTTTGATTTGAAACCGGTTGCGTAAAATAAATCTAGCGTTATCCTTAAATAATTAGTTTTTATAACGTTCATGCAAGCCCTTTTAAGGTAGAATTTCACGATCGAGGGTTGATTCATGGTGATTTGAATTTAAGGTTTTTTTTTTTTCTTTAACAATGAACAACCCACAAACCCATTGAGGAATGCCGACTGTAAATTCAAATCAAACATGCAAGACTTTTAAAAAATTAAAAAAATTTCCAGAAATCTCGTGGTTATGCAATAATTAAAAACTTCGATTTCATATTTGTCTTCCGGTTGCTGCTGACAGATGATACGATATCTGACGAGTTCTTTTCCTCGTGAAGAAAAATTATCTTATTATTGAAACAGCTGAGTGTTATGAATTTTATTAAAATGCGGGATTTTTATTCAATTTTTTAATTCACTGCACTGACAAAGATTCAAAGAGATTGTTTTTGCACATTGACAAATGCATATGTTAATTAAAAAATTGAAATCTTGGATTTTACCATTTTTTTAATAAAATTTTGATATTTAGTTCTTATTTTCTAAGGGCTGAAATTTAAATTAAATACCTATTTATTTTCTATGAATGTAAATGGATGCATTAAAATGTTTGCAATATATTGAGTATAAATAAAGCAGCTTCTTATGATTGTTGTTCCAAAATTTTCGTTTATAAAAAGCCTCTGCAATGTGTTTTATTGCTTTGCACAGAGATTTTCTTTTGGCTAAGGTAAAGGGCAAATAAATCACTGGAAGCTGGCCTTTTATTTGCCAAAAAGCACCAAAGCTCTGGCTGTGTTTGTATGAAATACGCGCTCCGCCAAAAGCGAAATATACTCGTGTGTATCAAGACGGAGGTTGCTCGGGTTCTCTCTGTGCGCGATATTATATTTTTCCTGCACATCACGCCATCAGTTTGTTGCACAAACATAGAGAAGCTGAGAGACGGTGGCGCGCGGCAATCCATTAGCGTTATTAAGATGTTGTCTCTCCTCAATTTAATTGCCCAGAAGACCTCAATTAGCAGATATGAGCAGAGAACGCGCAGTTTCTTTTTGTCTGGCTTTCCCCTCGTTATTTGGTCCTGGAAATACATTTCACTCTATTCCTCTTGGGGCTTCATTTGACCGTGAGATAAAAATAAAATGAAAATTAGAAATCCTCACATTTCAATTTTTTTTGCGAAGGGAAACGTAACAAAATTAGTGCAATCTTATGGTTACATGACATGGCATTTATTTTGGAGTCTTAAACTGGTTGTGTTTTTGCCCTTTGATCGCGTTGTCATCTTTTGTGTTGATAAATTCATTTTACGCCCGCCGAGGTGATAGGGCACGCGCGTTATTTTTGCACTCGGCTCCAGATCTGCTATACTGGCTACTAGATTTATGATGGTCTCTCTTTTCCAACTTCCACAATCAAACGAGTGCGGTGCGGCGGACGAGTTTTGTAGATTCAGGGATTTGTTGGGTAAACATACTCTACTTGCAAGGGCAAGAACTCCCGTTTCGCAGGTGCATGAATTGATAAAGGAGCTGAATGTCGACATTTGTAGGACGTTCTTGGTGCATTTGCATTCATGGTCTATTTTTATGAATATAGAAGGACGTGTTTGTTTGTATTTGATGCGTAGAACAAAGGTTTGAAAATGAACTAAACTTTGATTTATTGCATAGCATAACTTGCAAAAAATGTAATCCTCTGCAGCTTTATAGCAAGGTGAAGAAGCAAAGCAAATGTTTTTGTGCACTTGCAAAATATGCCGAATTCTAAAATCTGTTAAAAATCTTAGGGAAATTGATATTAAAAAAGAAGAAAATAACGTGGATACTATACAGATTTTTTAAATTCTTGCTTCATAGTGACTTTGTAATACATGATTATCAATGACTTGGAATAATTTGATGTATTGTTGCAATTTTAAAAAATTATTGAGTTACAGTTAAACAAAAATATTAAAATTCAATGAATTCTAGAATACTACACAATTAAAATGTTACTTAAGTAAGAGATAATTGTGATTTGAATTATTTTATTAAAACAGAGAGGTCAACGTGGCAAAAACAAATCAATGAATAATAATATTTTTAGGGCGAAGTATTGATTTTGGAGCTTTATTTAAGTTAAATTTTATTTTATACTGCAGCAGTAGTAAAAATTCAAGGTATATTTCTTTTCAATGTACAGCTCTCCACTTTTCCATTTATACAATAAAAGGTTCTTTTGCGCGAATTTGGAGCGAAATCGTGGTTGGCGCTTCTGAATTGATACGCACTCGCCGGCGTCACCACATTTTAAGGCGTCACGCTTGGTTTGACATCGTAAAACTGTACGGCGTTTAAATTATAATGACAATAGGACGAGAGCCGAGAGCGCTGGCGCGGCGCTCAAGAAAAAAGGCTTAAGTACGAGAAGCGGGCGCTGGGCTTTATTCTGTCCACGTTTTCTAAAGGAGGACTTTAACTTGACTTTATT